GGAGGGCTCAGTAGCTGACTGAATATTTGATGGTGTTTGTCAGGAACTTTCCTGACCTCAAACCGCCAGGATTTCCACCACTGAAAATATTCGTAATAATGTCCCCATTATTATCAGATCGCCTTTCTCCACCTGCAGGTTCCCCGGAATCAATGTCAATTCCCATCATGAAGGCTGGAGGTCATCCTGGAGGAAGTGAGTGACTACCGGTGACCCACGTGGGATCCACAGTGGAGTGGGCGGTTGGGGACACTGGGGTTCCCTTGCAGGGGACATAGGAAAACCTGAGCAGGTACAGACAGCCCTGTCTCAGGAAATCAATGATGGGTGCCGAGTTTCCTTTTCTTTTTTTTTTTTTTTACTTCAGCAGGGGTAAATCGAGTCACAGAGAAGACCCAGGGTGAGTGTGCAGAGCGGGGAGGCCAAAGTCAGGTGAGGAGGAAGAAGGAGGACGCCATGATGGACCAGTGCCCCGCTAACCTTGGAAAGTGATGGAGAGGACACGTGGTCCCCGGCTCAGCCAATCAGGACGCAGCAACATGGTTGCCACAGCGACGCTCAGAGTACCGCGTCCCTCTTGAGCTGAAGACGCGCGCTCTGATTGGTTGGCTCGCGGGCGCCGCTCGTCCAATCAGAAGGCAGGGGGGCTGAAGCTGCTTTGGGCCCATGGACCACGGTTCGGGTACCACGGTCGGGGCGATGGTTTGGCCACATCAGGGACCTTGGGTTAAAATATGCAAAATTGGAGAATCGCAGGTGACAAGTGCTTTTTTTTGCATGGCAGGTCGGCTTTATGTGTGAGCAGTGCAAAAATTGCCTGGTGACCTCTTTTCAGCTGTTTTCTGTTAAGGACAGAGATTCAAGTTCAAAGAGAGGAGTTCTTCCTGATCCCTGGTGGCTTTTGCACGTATTTTCTTCCAGGTGGACGAGTGTCACTTCACTTGGATTTTTTAAAAAATTTCTTTGTGCAAAAATAATTTTAAAAAATCCTGTTATGGAGCAGGATGAAGACCCGGACGTGGAGTGACTCTCCAGGGTTTGTGACATTTCAAAGGAAACAGCAGAGATGCTGGTGTTGACATGGGAAAAACTCGATTCCACCAAGAGGAATTGCTGATTAAAAAGAACCCCAAAATTTTTTTTCTTAAAAGAAAAAGTTCCAGAGAGCTTCCAGGCGAAATAGTTTTCATTTGGCAACGACCCGGGAGTCGGATGAAAAGTGACGCTGAGTTTTCCTGGCACAAAGACAAGATGGCATGTGTGCAATTTTCCGTTCGATGTCCTGTGACTTCTGATCCCAGCCAGACTTTGTCACCTGACCTGGCGAGGCTCATTTGTGTGTGGGACTTTTGTCCTGGGTCTGAACAACCCTTTCCCGATCTTGGTCTCCCACCCTTCCCCGGGAGGACAATTTTTGGGAATTGTCTTACAGGCTCCATCCTGCATCTGTAGGATTTTGAGAGAGAGGGGGGAGGGAGGTGGGGTGACAAAACCTACATTGGGGTGACTACGGTTGCCCCAAAATTTATGTCTTCTCAGAACCTCTGAGCACGACTTCATTTGGAAATAGGGTCTTTAAAGGTGGTATTTAGGATCTTGTCATGAGGTCATCTTGGAAAAGATGTGTCACACTCACCATTGGGTAAAGGTGCCTTAGCGAGTGGGTGAGCACAACAGGACAAAGTCCCATATCCTGAAGTCCAATCAAGTCCAGAAGGCTGTGAGGCCACGCATCCATAATCCATCCGTCTATCCATCCATCCGTCCATCCACCCATCCATCCACCCATCCACCCATCCATCCATCCACCCATCCATCCATCCACCCATCCATCCATCCATCCATCCACCCATCCACCCATCCACCCATCCATCCATCCACCCATCCATCCATCCATCCATCCATCCATCCATCCATCCATCCATCCACCCATCTACCCATCCATCCACCCATCCATCCACCCATCCATCCATCCATCCATCCACCCATCCATCCATCCATCCATCCACCCATCCATCCATCCATCCATCCACCCATCCATCCACCCATCCATCCATCCATCCACCCATCCATCCATCCATCCATCCACCCACCCATCCACCCATCCATCCACCCATCTACCCATCCACCCATCCATCCACCCATCCATCCATCCATCCATCCACCCATCCACCCATCCATCCATCCATCCATCCACCCACCCATCCATCCATCCACCCATCCATCCATCCACCCACCCATCCACCCATCCATCCACCCATCCACCCATCCATCCATCCATCCATCCATCCATCCACCCACCCACCCCAGGTCCACACCTGTCAGTTGAGGTTTCAGCTGCAAAGACCCCCCACTCCTGTCACTGTCACCTCTGCAAGTCGAGTGACCCCAGCAAGGATCGGGTGCCGTGCGTCCAGCAAGGTGGGGGTCCGCCCCTTGCTTTCCGGGATGTCCTTGGGTCCCCGTGCAGGGCGACTGGGGAAAGGGTCACTTTAGCAGAGGGAGGCCATGGATGCATTTGGAGAGGGAGCTTGGGGGTCCTTTGGGGGGCTGCAGGAGTGCAATAGGGGCGAGTGGGGACTAGGGGTGTGGTGTCTGAGCAGGGAGGGAGTTCGCGGCGCCCCGTGGTAAACTGCAGGGACCCCAGACCTGGGCACCTTAGTGTTCCCGCCTTGTCCAAGGGCTCAGCCTTCCACGTGCTCCCAGCCTCCGAGGGGAGGGACGGGGCGTGGCCAGGGGCGGGGCGTAGTCAGAAGGCGTGACCAGGGCGGAACATAAAAGCATGTGGGCGTGGTCATGGGCGTGGCACCAGCAGGGGCGGGAACAGAAGTGGCCAGAGTGCAGGCTGGGAAGAATGTAGGAAGGGGCGTGGCTTGCTCGGGGGCGGGGCATAGCGAGGGGTGGGCGGAGCCAGTGGCGGAGCACAGGTTTGAGTGGATGTAGTCAGGGGCGGGCACACGTAGGGATGGGCGTGGCCGGGGCGGGGCCTAGGCGTGAGCCTCCCGCAGATTTGGCATTCAGGGTGGCAAAGGCGCGAAACGGCTGGGATGGGGCAAGGGGCAGAAGAGGACGGGGCGTATTCAGAGACAGGCTCAGAGCGGGTCGCAAGGCGGGGGCGGGAAATCAGAGAGGGGCGTGGGTAGGGGGCGTGGCCATGGCGCGACGGGGAGAGTGATGTCAGGGGGCGTGATCAGGGAATGGGCTCGCTGGCGGGAAGGGAATGCACGCAGTGGCCGGGGGCGTGGTCCTGGGCGGGGCTAAAGAAAGGGGCGTCACCGAGCGTCCGGAGTCAGGACGGGGCGGGGCTAGGGGCGTGACGTATCAGGGGTGGGCGTGGTCAGGGGCTGTCAGAAATAGGCTCCAGGTCTAGGCAGGAGCGGAAGAAGCCCCTCAGTCCAGTCGCGAAATGGCTGACGGGGGCGGGGGCGCGGCGCGGGACGCACACAAGGCCCGGGTGCGGGCAGGAGCGTGCGGGGGAGGGGGCGGGGAGAGTAGGAATGCGCGCGGTTTCAGCAAGGGGCGTGGTCTGGGCGCCAGTAGTCAGGGGCGTGGCGTAGTTAGGGGCGGAGTTCAGACGGGCGCGCAGGCTGCCGCTGGGAGGGGCGCGGTTACGAGGCGGGCCTCAGGCCTGTTGCTAGGGGCGGGGCGTAGCTAGGTGCGGTCTTCCGGCGGGGGCGGCCACTGCGTAGTTAGTGGAGGGAGGGGCGTGGCTATTGGGCGTGTCGTCAGCGCGGGGCGTGGCCTTGGGTGCGGAGCCGGCCCCTCCCCTCGCCGTGCCTCTCGGCGGGCGGCCCCGCCCTGCCCGGCGCATCCCGGGGCGTCGCCGCCGCCCCTCCCCCTCCGCCCCTCCCCCTCCTGGGCGCCGCAGTCCCGTTCGTCGGTCCCTCGGCCACAGCACGCGCACCATGTCGCGCCGGCCGGTCGTGGCGCTGGCGCTGCTGCTGCTGCTGGGTCTGCTGGGCGCTGCGGTTCTCGCCCAGGGTGAGCGGATGGCGGGATCGAGGGGTGCGGGGTGGGGGAGGGGCGCGATCCTGGGATCCGGGGACCCCGGGGTGGGGGTGGGGAGGGAAGTGGCGTGCATCGGATCGGGCAGCCGCTTGAACGGGACGCATGCGGGTAACGGCTGGTTTGGGGGTGCACTGGGGACCCCGAGGCTGGGGAGGGGGCGCAAGACTTGGGGCGCGGGGTTTGGGGTGAATTGGGGGACCCTGGGCCAGGTGGGGGGGTTGCATGGCCTTTTTGGGGGTGCATTGGGAACCCCGCCTGGGATCCATGTTGTGCGGGACGCACGCGGGTAACGGGTAAGGTTTTGAGGTGCACTGGGGACCCCGAGACTGGGGAGGGTGCGCATTGGGGACCCCGGGCTGGGCTCCGGCAATGGGGGACCTCGTGGACGTAATGGGTAGCCTGGGGGCGCAGGGCTTGGGGTCACCGGGGACCCCTGGCCAGGGTGGGGTGGGGGCGCTCAACTTGGGGCGCCTTGGGGATCCCGGGCTGTTGTGCAATCGGGCGGGACGCTTGGAGCTGAGCGGTGGCCTTGGGGTGCAGGACTTGGGGGGCTCCGGGGACCCCAGCCTGAACCCGAACTGGGGCGGGACGCATGCAGCTAACGGGGTGGCCTTGGAGCACATAGGGGACCCCGGAATGGAGGGTGGCGCACGACTTGCCTTAGGGACCCATTGGGGACCCCGGGCTGTGCTCCACGTCGGGCCACCACCCAGAAGGAGGAGTCCAAAGTCTGTCGGTCCGCTCCCTCTGTCTGTCTTCTGGGGCCACTGGGGCTGCGCGCCAGGCGCGAGATGTCATTGTTCCCTTTCCAAGTGCCCAAGTGCGTCCTGTCCAGCGGGAGAGTTGGCTTCCCACGCTCGGCCACTCCCCGCGGGCCGTCCCCACGCACCTCGGTCCCCTTGAGCTCCCCTCCCCCCTCTGCACCGCACCCCACGCCACCCTTACGACTTCACTGTCACTTGTCCCCAAGCCACACGCCAGCTGGCTCCCACTGGAGACATGCGTGTTTGCCCGCACCCGCGGAGCCACGCCCGGGTCCCCGGCCTAAATTTGGAAAAGTCGCCGGGCTCAGGGCCGTGGCGGCCGTGATGGGAAATGCGAAATGCTGGGGTTCAAGCCGGGGGCCGGGGGCGGCTCAACCGTCACCAGGACCTACGGGAAAAGTGTCTGCAGCCCCCAGGTGACACCTTTCCGGCTCTGACGTGACAGTGGCCTGCGGGGTGTGGAGCTGTAGGGCGTTTTCTCCATGTTTTGCATTTTTTCCGTCCCGGAGTGAGGGTGGCCTGGGCTCTCAGCGCAGGACGCAGGTGTGTCACCCGCAGGAAATTCGTGTTCTGAGGGTGGCGCAGGCTCGGCCTCTCCCAGGCCCTGTGCGTTTGGGTTTTGGGGAGGCCGTGGACTTCTGTTTGTAAACTTGAGACAAAAACCCAAAGTCAGGGCGGGGGCCGGGCGGGCCGGGCTCTGGACCGGTTCCCTTCCTTCTGACTCATCCCAAAGGCGGCTGTTGATCTGGGGCCCGCGGCCGCCATTAGGGGCGCATGTTATCCTACAAAGAAGTCCCACAGCCCTGTTCTGCCTCCACGCCCTAGGCCCGCGCCCAGCAAAGTTGGGGCGCCCGGTCTTTGGGGGTAGCTGAGTGGCCCACTTGTCTTTTTTGAGGTGCAAACAGGTCTTTTAGGGTTTTTTTTTTTTAACGCCCGCCTCCTTTTGTGGGGTTTGTGGGGTTTGTGGGATGTGGACCTGGGAGGCAGGGGGTGGCCGGCTGCTGACGGTTATGGAGTTTTTATGGGGTGTGTCGCTCATGGGGTGTGTAGGTCACGGTTGTTTCTGGGTGGAGCCCTGATCCAGGAAAGGGACTGAGGCCCTCAGTTTTTCCTCTGTCACCCCTGCCGATCCAGTCTCCATGTCAAAGTCCCCAACATGGAGCTGTGGTTACCCAGGGCTGGGCGGGGGACCTCGTGAGCAGGTCCGTCAGTCTGGCTTTTGTTCCCCTGCCCCGTTCTGCTGGCCCAGAGTGTGACATAGAAAAATGCGTCACTGAGCACTTTCCGCTCGGGTGTTCCTTGAGACTCCTTCTTCCTGGCTGAGTAGTACTCCACCCGCCCACCTGTAGGGCCAGCCGTCCGTGCACCCATCACATAAACCGTAAATAAAGGCGAGGTAGATACCTTCTGCCGGCCTAATTTTCCTTGCTGCCTAGTCGTCCTGGGTGCTGTGTCTGCAGGGAGCTCTTTCTGGGGGTGCTTGCAGATCTGGCCTGTTGCAGCCACACTTTCTGAGGACCAAACACCCCGGTTGGTCTTGGGGATGTTTTTGTTGTTTTTTTTAAGTCCCGGACAAAGAGAAGGGAAAGCAGTTTGAGTCAGCAGGGAGTCGTGAGAGTGAGTCAGTCACGGCGTGAGGCGTCCGGCCTCACCCTGATGAGTCACCCCCCACCCCTGCACATCTGGGGGTTCCTGTAGGCGCTGGAAACCACAGCGGGGCGGGGGTTATGGGGTTCCTGCTCGGGGTGGGGCGTCTCTGCACACAGAAGCTGAGGCCCCGAGCTCTCTGTGCAAGCGGGGTGTAGCCTGGGTTGTGTCTTTTCCATATTTCTGGCCCTGTGGGAACCTTGGGACTGTGAAGTCAAGGGTTTTTTTGCAGAGAGCTGAGAAGTCCCCTGTCCCCTGCCACCACCCCAGGGAGCTGTCAGCACCTCCTCTGACCTGATGGCCAGGACACAGAGATTTCTGAATTATATCAGGATTAATCCTGGTGGCCAGGGTAACTGACTGACTAACTGATGTTCCCCACCGGGTTTCAGCACACAGCAGTGTGCATTTGGGGTCATTGACTGACTGACTGATGCCTCCCCTCAGGTGGTGGCCATCAGGGATCGAGCAGCTGGGTATGCATGGATTAAGGGCATCACCTGACCCTGTAATCTGTGTGCAAGGGGTGGAGTGTGGGAAACTGACCTGAGTGTCAGTCACAGGGACTTTCTACACAACTGGGGAGCAAAAGGTGAGGACACACAGACGTGTGGGTGAAGGAAAACGGGGAAACTGAGGCAGGGCGGAGCAGCAGGGTCCTGACACAGATTTCTGGATTAATTCTGGTGATCATTGACTGACTTACTGATGTTCCCCAGCAGCACACAGCACTGTGCCTTTGGATCCTCGACTGACTTACCGATGGAATCATGGCTCAGGGGAGTCTAGGAAGGTGGGGAAACTGAGGCAGGTCATGGGTGACACAGGGGCTGCTGGGAAATTTTGGGAGGCCAAATTCCCTGCATTTTGCCTCCCAGCCCTCGCTCAGAGCTGGATCGCATCAGATAACAAAAAGATCTCTGCAGTCTTCTGAGATCGCACAAAAGTAAAGTCTTTTTCTGGGTTGTGTAATATTTTACGAGAAGCACGGTGAGTTTAGGGTTAAGGACCCAGGGTTTCTGAATCCTAATTTTTTTTTTTCTGGTCTCTATTAGAAAGTGTTCTTCGTCTCTTTTCGAGAATAAATGCAAACTCAAAGTCGCCAGGACGGCTCCACCGTTGTAATTTCCTCACCACCCGTGAGGGGAAAAAAAGTCGATCGACAACCCGGAACGAGATGACTGAGGAGAAAACGGCGTTTTTTTTCCTGGACGTAACCTCCTTGTTTTTCTTTCTCCCTTTAGATGGTGGCTTTGACTTATCTGACGCCCTCGGTGGTGAGTTGTCGGGATATTTTCTTTTCTGTCACGTAGGACATTTCTGTAATGGGGCCGTTAGGACGAGTCCACAGCCCCGGGAACGACCCTTAACTCCGCCTGCAAAGACCCTATTTCCCAGTGAAGTCCCGGGGTCAGGATTCAGGTTCAGGCTATACTGGGGGAATACTATTCAGCCCCGAAAAAGGAACAACAGGTTACAGGACGGGATCCTTCCATCGGCAAAGACCCTATTTCCAAATGGGGTCCCATTGTCCCCTCCCGGAGTGACAGACCTTTTGGAAAAAGACCCTATTCCCCTTGGGTCTCTGGAACTTCACCATATTGCAATATGGCGGCCTGACCCAATGCACTGGGTCCAGGATGAGCTCTTTTCTTTTTTTAGATGACAACGACAAGAAACCCACAGACATCCCCAAGAAGCCCAGCGATGGTAAGAACCCCGTTCGCCTTCTGTGCACACACACATTTGTTCCTAAAGAAAGATTGGGGTCAGGACATCCAGAAGAGTGAGTATCGAGGGTCCCCGGTGAACCCCACTTTGAGCATCGGGATTGGGGTGAGATGTCAGTAATTCAGTCAACACTGAGGGTCCTTTGTGCCAAAAGTTACAGGGTCGCCATCTGGTCTGAATTTTGATCATGGACGCCATCTTGGTTTCAGACACAGCTGCCGCCATCTTGGATTTCTCCATCCAGGTTCCCCAATGGCTTCCGTTGGGGCCGAGGACCCCGTGAATCCTGTAGCCGGGCTGGACATGGACCTCAGTGTGTCCTGGAAGAGGCTGGCAGGGGGCCCCCTATTGGGGTGACCTCACCCCATGACAAAAGCCAACCTGCGGTTGTTGAGTGACTATTAGATAACCGTCCGTGTGCAAACTGGGGTTTCATTTTCCTCCTTCTTGTGCTTTTGTTAGGAGGCATTGGCGGCACAGGGTGACATTTCCATATGTGCTGGTGATGGATTTTCACTACGTCCACTTCCCTCAGTCCTGCAGACGACGTGGCCAGGCTTTTTCGGGGGTGTATAGTACACTCCACCGCCTGTCCATTTCGCATAGGCTCTGGCCATGGGATTTTCCGGCCCGTGTCTATGGTGTTGGGCCCGATGCGCCCCATTTCTTCCTCAGGTGGATTGATAAGTAGGCTCGCGATTATCGATCCGTGGTGACGTCTTCCGTCCCTTTCCACAGGAGACCCGGCTCCGCCCAGGCCCAGGCCGCAGCCGGACCCCAGGCAGCCCGGGTCGGCCGGTAAGGAGGGCAGTGGTGGGACTTTGGGGTCACTCGAGCTTTTGGGGGTCATTTTTCATGTTCACAAAACCCCAGGCACAAATCTGGGGGAGCACATGTGCTATGGAAGGTCGTTTTGGGGTGTCCCTTTTCCCTTTGTCCCTTTGACCGGGAGGACTTAATGCAAACCTGCACAAAATGAGGCGCCATCGGGAACGCCCCCCGCCCCCCAGCTTTGGTTATGGCTGGTGGCTGTTGAGCGTCCTGGACACCAGGTTTTGGCACCCGTGCATTTTTCATGACCATCTATGCTTCCCTCGACGGTACCGGGAGGGTGGACGGCCGGGCCAGGTCCAGTGCTTCCCATGGGGTTTTTCCTTCTGACCCCGCAGCCTCATTCAACCCTACAACCCTATGACCCCAGTGTTCTCGTTTCTCTAGGCGGATTCTCGGATTCGGACCTGGTGGACGGCACGGCTGGTGGACAAGGTAAAGTTTTGTGCAATTCCTACAAAAAAAAAAAAAAAAAAAAAGTGGAATACTATGCAGCCCGGACTCAGCCCGACTTTACCTGTGGCGTGCCGGGCCCAGCGCAGGTGGCCACCTGCCAGGGGCTCGCTCGGTCCCGAGTTCAAATCCCCGCGGGGCAAAAACTAATCAGATCAATGTGAGCAGCTGAAATCAGCCCCGCTGGGAGTCTTCGTATTGAAAACCAGATTTTTTACGGGGTCACTTCCATGCAGACACGGATTTGTAAATATGTGTATTGTGGTGCGCTGCGTGGCTTTTTAATTTAATTTAATTATTTTATGAATACACATAGGTGTGCATATATATATACAGAGAGAGGATTGTCCCTTGCTGCCTGTCTGGGGGACACTGGTTTCAGGACCCCACAAATGACCAAATCCCACAATTCTCTCTGTCAGAAAAAGGCACAGAATTTACCTATAACCTCTGCCACAGGCCCTGTCCTCAAGGTCCCCTGTAAATGACTTACAGTGTCACCCCAGGGATCCTAAATCCCTTCCCAGCCATCCTGGGGTCACAGTGACCTTGTCCATGGATAAAGT